TTCCTTGCAAGACTATTACCTCGTTATGTCCCAGGACCCAAGTGAGAGTAACTCTATTTTTCTCGCCTAGCTCATTCAATTGTTCTAGGCACCTCCAGACCATTTTTGAGCTGATTACGTAAGAGCTCAACGCTTTAATGGGTGTCTGACTATCGGACATGAAGATAATCTCTTGTCTTTGATAGTTTTTTCGATGTTAAACTGGATACACTTCTAGAAGGCGTGAATTTCCGCATGGAAGATGCTTGGGTATTTCCGCAAACTTTCGGAGTGCTTGGTTCTCGGCCCATACACTCCTATTCCAGTTCCTTCTATGGTTTTGGAACCGTCCGTATACAACCGAATATCATGTCTTTCGGTTGGAAGTGCGATGGATTCTTGTCTCCATTCTTTCTTGCAGCCCAACTTTGTGGTTTTGAAGTTTTTCACAAAACTGTACTTTTTTAGCATTTCATCCTGGGGCATGTCCCAGGTATCTTTAGTCCTAACGCAAGTGTGCTTTCGTTTGATTACTCCGTTCCTGATCATTCTATATCGTTTCTAAACTTGCCTCTAGCAAATATGACAATGTCGTCGACATAACCTTGACTGGGTATGCCGAGGTCAGTCAATCTACATAGAAGTTTATCTACGGTTAGGCTCCATATTGGTAGGGATAGAACTCCTCTTTCTGGACATCCTCTGGTTGTGCAGATGGAGATGGTATTCTGCCCTATCTGTCTCTGCAGTTCTCGTAGATAACAGCTGAGCCATCCATCTGGATATGCAAGTGATCTTCTGACCGATTCGTGTGTCATCTTGTCAAAAGCTCAAAAATACCCTATACTCACGTAGACTCGGAAATATAGTCAAACTAAATAATCAATGGGAATGAAATTGTGATAGCATGTATATACATGGAATAAAGTAATTCAAGGAAATAAAGAGTATTTAATCAACGCTGACTTGTATCATTGCGTAACGAATCAATATTGACTAAAAACAAAATTAAATACGCACCCGGGTAGTATGTAAATATCTGCAATGAAGGGCTTGCGGTTCCAACCAAGTAATTCAAGTAAATAAATGTTATTTATCAACTCTACTTTAAAAAAAAAGTCTTACTAAATTAAACTAAATCAGTCACCTAGCTCCACGGCAAGTTTTATTTTCAATATTTGGAAATAAATTCGCAAAATCATACGGGGTTCAAACAAAATTCCCAACACGAGATAAAATCAAAATACCAAAATTAAAACCGAAAAATAAAGTTTATTATTTTACTCGATAGATTCAGAATCAGAACAACATAAAAAATGGCTGAAAGACTATTTGCTTTCTGAAATTATGCACTGAGAATAGGTGCTTTTACGGATCGACGTGTCAAAGCTAATTTTTCTTAACTGACTTCGACTAAGGCTGTTTTTGGCAATGGGGAAGTGGGGTCGTAACCCTAAAATATCTTAACGAGCGGGATCTTGATTTTTCGTGACTGTCAATCACAGGAGCACGCTGATTGAAAAATTTACAGAAATATTGTTTCTTTTTTCTTTTTAGTACTGTGTAGAACATCTTTGGCGTCTTATGCGTGTTTGTCCTTCTATTGGTAAATGATCACCAACATTATAAAAAACTTTCGTTTCTTCATTGTTTTTTTTTTTATCTGTAGCATCTTTTCTGCCCAATGATATTATTATTTTCTACACTGTAGTATGAAACGGCACCAAAACCGTTATTTTTCTTTCCTTTGCAATTAGTTGAACAAGATGAGATTAGAAGAGATGTTATCAAAAGTCTGAAGAAAACTTTTTTCCACCATTTAGCCGACTTTCGATCGAAATCATACAGACCAATAATCTGATTGGCTCAATCTACTCCATCCATGAATCGGTATAGAACTCTAATATTTCAGAGCAAGGAATATCTTTTCCATAACCAACCTTTTCTGTGCATTTTACAGTTGTTACTTATTAGTAAAACAATTACTTATTACAAGTAAGTCCTTAGTTTCTTACCATCTGGTGATTATAGTATCATTACTGTTTACCGTAAATTCTGAATCGCCTCGATTCAGTTTAGTTATAAATTTTAGTACATTCTTTTTATGATTCATCAATATATGAAGTGGCATTGTATTAAGCAAAAAAAAATAGATGCAAAAAATCTATCGAAACAAGAGTGCTAGTTTAATTGTACCAATTAATCTTCCTATCATCCTTTCTCCTAAAGTTCTTTTTGAATTTCCAGTAAATTTGCTCTCATACACGTTAAAATCATAAACGTAACCACCCAGGCAGCACACATTAGTATAACTAACGTATTTTATATGTAATACTCGTTTAATTTTGGTATTGGTTGATTCCGTATACGTTTACAGTTTACGATTATTCTACGTTTATACGGTATATAATTGTAAATTTTTCTACGTTTAAATGCAGTTAACAATATACGACTATTTTTAGTTTGCGATGAACTATTTATATACAGTGGGCCTAAATATACGTTTAGGTTTATTTAAATTAAATTCGTATAAATTTACATAATATTACAATATGTGTTATTCGTTTATAACTCCCGTTTAAATTTCGTCTTGGTTGATTTTTTAAACGTTTACCATCTACCATTTTTATACTTAACGTTTTTTAATAGATAAATTAAACGCTTTTGTTTGTAGATACTAGTTAATATACCTATATTATTCTACGTTTAAATATAAGTCACCTTAAACGCATATTACCAGTTTACGATGAACTAGTAGACAGAAGTAAATAATATGTATATATTTAGGTTTATTTAAATTAAAAGCTTATAGATATATTTATTTACAATACACCATATTTTTTAATTATATTACCTGTAATATTTATAACAAATTCCCCATTGTACCGATTTCAAACACCCGAACATTTAAATAACCTGCTAATAACCATGGTGGGGTGGACTAGTCCATGTCGTTTCAGTGAGTGAGATTCGGGGTGTGCTTTAAGCTAAGTCGGGCTGGTCCAAAGTGCGCGTAGTGCAGAGAATCGAGAGGGGAGTAAGGTACCGGCATACGATCGGGAATCAGCTGACTGATGGTGGCTGGTGATTGTGAAGCGCTGGCTATCAATAAAACGATTCACGCTATTATAAGTTATATTTCTGTTAACTATTTGCTAACCACGATAATTGTTTTGTATGTAATAAAAAGTTCTTGTAAAATTGTTGGTGTTGTTGTGTCCAGTTGCATTGCATGTTACTTTGGCGTCCTGGCTTTTACGATATTGGTTACAAGCATTGGTAAGTTTCTATTAATGTTTTAATTTAGCTACTCGTTTAATAATTGTTGCATTTTACAACAACTACTGTTTTATTACAGTGTGTAAAATGCTTATAGAAACTCCAAAACATAACCTTACTTTTGTTTCTCTTATTTTTATACGTATTTCTATATGTATTTTTTAGGCTACCTAGTTATTCTAAGCATACTTATTTTCCTTTTTTTTGGTCAGTTGTTTTTTATTTAATAAAATGTTAATAAAATGTTCAAGATGTTTTAATGTCAAAACATTTTTATTTTATTCCCAGTGAAGATAACATTAATAAGGCTTCGGACATTAATATATCATCTGATTCTATTATTTATAATAATTTCCTAGAACATAATACAAATTTAACTTTGGAGCTTTTAGAAAATATTTCACCTGAAATGCAGTTACATTTTGGTCATAGGAATGGAAGTGAACCATGAGACTTAACCGACCGAACGATTAGAAGTGCTATGCAAGATTGGCTTAAGTTAGCTCAGGCCTGTCTAGGACACAACACATCCATAGTGTTGAGCTAAGATTTTAATTTTCACATATATTTTTTGTTAGTTAAAGAAAAGTTTTGTTTAGTTTGTTATTCAGTATTTTACTGTTTATTTTTTAGTACTTATTTATTTTTTAGTATATTATTGTTTTTTTTTTTTTTAATAAAATATTGTTCTGTACATATAACAAGTGATCAAAAAAATTTCCTAAATAGTTAGACCAATTACAACCAAAATAGAAACACGAATAATACCTATTTCTAGTGTATACACACCTGCTATGGATAAAATCCAAACTGTCATTTAAGAAATATTGACATTTTTCCATGGCCTCTTTTAGAAATTTTGTTTTGATCACTTTATTTCATTTGTATTTGAAATACATTTAAAATAATATCAGGTAGACGCATTTTACACATTAATAAAATAAGATAAATCTAATATAGACGTATAGTCAAACAGGATAATAAAAGGTAGATTGAGTAGTAATGTTAGACGTATAAAAAATAAAAAAAATATACGTTTATAGGGCGGACATTTTCACGTATATATTTGGTAGTACATCAACCGTATTCATACGTATGGTAATACCTAAAAAAAAAACGTAATTTATACCAAAGTGTGCTGCCTGGGCAGTACAAGAGTCACTACGTATCCATATCTTGATATCTCTTTTAACAGGTTTCATGGTAAAATACTGTAAACTGTATATCTTCCTTTTAATTTTTACAACGACTCCTCTATATTTTGGAGGTTACTTCAGTTCAAAATTTTGGGGAAAAGGTATTCAGATAATTTACAATACCTTCAATGTAGAACAATTTTTCAGCATTTGTAGGTTTTACGAGGTCATTGAAATATATCTTGGGCAACAGAAGTTCACAACGATCTCTAGAAATAGATTTATTGATTGCAGCATTTCCAAGCAATTGATTTTGAGACCAATGGTCGTTGAATGTAGGAGCTCGGTAGTAAGACATTATAACTGTAACTCATAATACTACCATAAACTCATGATAATCTGTTAAAATTCTGTTCTTCTTGGAGTCTTTTATCTGTTCTAAACGTAAGTTTGTAAAATATGCAAAATAAATTAGAATGCTTTTTTCAAAAACTTTCTGGAATATTTTTACTTCAGTCAAATTTCGAGTAAGTTTGCAATTTATTTGTTGTTGTTGAGAAAGCTAAAGGCGAGAAATGAACCTTCCATGATTGATAAACCATAGACTTTCAGCTTGCTTTTTTTCTTTATTAGCCCTTGTTCTATCATGCTTCTCAACCTCTTGTTGTTCTTGGTCTCTACTTAACTTATATTTATCTAAACTTGACCCTTCGGCTCCATCAGAGATCGTTTTCATTTTATTTTCTTCAATCTCGAAGTCTAAAGGTTCAAAATCCGAGTCTGCTGAGCTACTGGTATGAAATGGATCAATTTCCGATTCGACGTCACTGTTTGTGCTTCCTCCTCTAGTTCCTTTACAGAAAGCGATTTTCAGCTCATCTGCAACAAAAATGCATATTGGGACATATTTAATCCAAAGTAAGAGACTGTTGGGACATGTGAACCGATAAAATATAATAATAATAATAATAATAATAATAATAATAATAATAATAATAATAATAATAATAATAATAATAATAATAATAATAATAATAATAATAATAATAATAATAATAATAAATCGTCTTTATTAAGGGAAAATAATGTATATATTCACGATGATTTTGGGCATATACTTATAACCAATATATTTAGAAATATGTTATTCCTTTATTATCACGTATTTTTGCTAAATAAATGTACAATTGCAGAAAATATGTAGATAAACAACCAGCAACTAACAATAAATCACAGTGACCACATTTAGCAAACGATAAACACTAAATAAATGACTGCTAACAAGCGTATGCTACTCTGCCACTTCCACTTTTTTTTAGTCAGTGTCTTAGTAAGACTAAATTTGAAATATTCTATACAAAATGAGTTCGATTTTAACCAGCAGACAGTATAGACATTATTTGTTTGGGATATATACGTCCCAATAGTTTCCGAAGGGTTAAATTTACCTCTAACAACTCTACGACAAACACATTAGATTGACCAGAAATAATAATAGAAATGGCTTCTGGCTGTATTAAATACTTTTGTAATGTTTAAGACACATGATTGATTTTTAGTTAATGGACAAACATTTGTGGAGTGTGCATATTACAAAAGTTATTTTATTTAGGTAAATTATTTAGTTTCTACTAACTTAGCCATGTACACTTAAATTTGTTTTTACTTTAATGGATTCATTTATTATTATTTTAATTGTTTGTTGTAAATTATTTAATTAAAGCCTGTTATATTTAATCAATTAAATAAATTCTAGGTAAATTTACAAAAAACCAATTTTGAGTTATTTTAAATATGTTTAAAGGGATTTTTGTTGACTAATACATATTTACTAACAATAAGATTTGGGTTTATTAACATGTTATAAGTATAAACAATAATATAACATGTAAAAATTAAAACATAAGTGTAAAAATAAAACAATACCCTTTTTAAACTATATATTATATAACAATAATATTTATTATCGTAAGTATATTATTTTTAGAGAAAGTACATAAATATTACTCACATTGAAACATTGAAAACTTATTTCTTGGTCAATCAAAAAGTAGGATACCTATAAGAAATTATGGACCGAGAGATGATTATAATCGACGAGTTTTGAAGGCCACATACCTACGGAAGATGGGCGATCACCGACTACCAAAACCTGTAATGGAATGGCAGCCAGCCACTAGAAAGAAGAGAAAGATGGATTAAATTGATGGATTTTGAATTTGCGAACAGGTGACTGTAGTCAGATAATAATACAGGCTGGTAACCGGAAAGCACAGGAAGGCGAAAAAAGAATTATATACTGGGTGTAAATGAACAGTACACCTCCTACTCATAATATATTTTAAATAGACTAACGTGTTTAATGTATGTTTTGATAATTTTCGGTTATCTAACTTTAGGTATAATATAAAGAAGATGTAATTATTTTCTTTAATCCTTATTTAATAAATAATAATTAGTAAATTCCTTATTTCCCAACAGATATAACATTCAAAGATAGGACAAAATATATCATTAATAGATTTTTAAGAGTAAACATTGATAAGTTGTAACGAAAAATAATTAAAAAAAGGAGGGAACTAATTTTTTTTTTGGAAGATCAATTAATATTGAAAAGTAAAGAAAAAAAAAGGGAAGAAAATAAAATATATAGAACAAAAAAAATATTTTTAATTTTTAAAAATTTTTAAAAAATACAAAAGACAATTCGACTGTAAGCTCACTACTAGAGCAAAGGGAGTGGGTTCTCACTGATTCGGATTCACAGATAAATTTTTGTTACTAGTAACTAATACGAAAAGGACGGCAACAAGAAATAAGGACGCCAGGTATTTTAGGGACAGAAAATACCAACAGTACCTTCTGTGAACCTGAAAAAATGTATAATGTGCACAACAGTTGTGGTTCAACCGGTAAATAATAGAAGTATTAGATTAATAGTGCTTTTATTTCTTTATCCTGAGATACAACTCTATGTCTTTATGGTGATTGGCAACTTTCCTCCTTAACTTCCACGATCTTGGCTGGGCGGTTTCCCTGGAAGCAAGCAAGGCCTGGTGTTAGGTAAGTGTAGGGTTGCTACCTTTCCTTTTTTTAAGCAAAATGTCTTTTTAAAGCTTAAAATGTCCTTTCTCACGGCATATGTTCTGTTTGCATATGTCCTGTTTGCATATGTCCTGTTTGCATATGTCTTGTTTGCATATGTCCTGTTTGCATATGTCCTGTTTGCATATGTCCTGTTTGCACATGTCCTGTTTACATATGTCCTGTTTGCACATGTCCTGTTTGCACATGCCCTGTTTGCACATGCCCTGGTTTTACTCTTTGACAGGAACCTGGCTTGTACAAAAATATACAAGCTGAGAACCTTTTTTTTTTGTTAGAAGCTCGGTAGAAAAAAGACTTTGTTACACACTCGTCGACCTTTTTTTGGAAGTTCAGTAGAAGGATGATGACCTTTTGTATACCTGATCTCTTATCAGCATCATTTTCCTTTATTTACTTTTCAAAAAGGTAGCAACCCCAGGCCAGTGTTCTGAAATCAGCCGTGGTGCTGTTCTGCAGCTGGTGGTGTTGTACACCAGCTGGTGGTGTTGCTCTTCCTAGTGGTACTGTTCTTCAGCTAGTGGTGCTGTTCTTCCTGCAGGAAGAAAGGTATCCTTTAGCTTGTAAATTTGTGCTCTAAAACTTGAGTGGGTGATGATAATTCTATTCTGATTATTCTTTTCCAGAGTGTTCTTATGTGGACCTAGGTGGGTCCTATTGTTGTTAGGCCTGCAAACATTCCAGGGGTCAGTACCCAACAAACACCGAAAGAAGCAAAGACAGGAAATAATCATGTAATTGGGGAATAAACAGAGAAATGGTGCTCTTGTAACTCAAAAATAAATATAAAAAAATGTGCATAGAGTGCTTGGGGTAAAAAAATGAGAATCTACTATTGGCTTTTACGATAATTTCGACTAATATTGTAGTTTACTTTATTTACGAGTATGTAAGTGACTTTAAAGATTTAAATGAAAATTATTGAATAATTCAGTTCAATTCACCATGTGATGTGAAAAATTAAAACTAATTAGCCAATATTTTGAGATATATATTCATTAATAAAAGGTTTCGTTAACAAAAATGTTTTATGATAGGCCACACTCTCTCAAATAATTTTATCTTTCTCTATGAGAGCAGATTTACTATCGCTCTTCTCCCAAACATGTAAAGTTTTCACAATTTGGCTCTTTTAACGTTGGGCATAGTTTCATCTCCATTAATGTCTACTAAAAGTTTATCCAGAATAGGTATAATCCAGGGAAGTTAAGAAAAATAGCGGAAATTTTTAGGGACTGCAGATATCGAGATGCGGTTTTTTGCATTGTGTTTAGGAAGGTCCAAGGAAAAAAGTCTATATCGTCTGGTTTAGCATTTTTTTGAAAAATGCCTTCTGGGCCGGAAAATGCATTTTTCAATTGCATTATTACTTGCCCCATTATAGGAACGACTGGAAACTCGGAAAAATCGCTTGGAAATCGTTACTTGGGGGGTTTTCGGGGCTGCCGAACTCAATGCTGGCATAATAATTACCCGGAGGTGGCTCTGTGGGGGTGCGCGGGGGCGCCGAATTCAATTCTAGCATAAGATTTCCCTGGGGGCGCTCGGGGGTGGCTCTGTGGGGGTTGTCTAGGGGTGATTGGGGGGAGGGGGGAAATTACAGCGGCTATGAATATCACTCCAAAATCGTTACTGTGGGGTTTTCGGGGATGCCGAATTTAATTCTGGCACACCCAAAAAAGGTCCAAAATCCAAAAAATTAATTATTTTAGCACTATTTTTACGTATAACAAAAAACCAACGTGGTATAAGAGTTCCGGACAGAACTCAAACAACAAAAAAAGTCCAAAATCCAAGAAACTTGATTACTGTAGCACTGTATTTACAAACAACGAAACAGCAACGTGGTCCTCAACTACAGATTTAATACACAAGCATACAGACGCCGACTGCGCGCGGGAACTGGGTCCATATTTATTCTCTTCAGTCGATCCAGAATATTTCTGTTCGCGCCGGTCCCCGTGGTAATGATACTCTAATCTCTTTATAGCTTTGGCGCCTTTTTCAAATCCAATTTTAAGGCACAAAAGACTTCCAAAGCAATTATTTTTATAATATGTGTAATATTTATTTATTTAATATTCAATCAAAATTTTTAATATTCATACCCTCGGGTAATTCTAATGCCAGAATTGAATTCGGCATCCCCGAAAACCTCCCGAGTAACGATTTTGGAGTGATTTTCATGGACGCTGCCATTTTCCCCAAATTAGCCCCAGACAACCCCACAGAGCCACCCCCGAGCGCCCTCAGGGAAGTCTAATGCCTGAATTGAATTCGGTATCCCCGAAAACCCTCCGAGTAACGAGTTTGGAGGGCTTGCCATGAACTATGCACCCCCTAGAATGACCCACCGGATACCCCCGCAGAGCCGCCCCCGGGTAATTCCAATACCAGAAATAAATTCGGCATCCTCGAAAACCTTCGAGTAACGAGTTTGGAGTGATTTTTATTCACGCTGCTATTTTTCCCCAACAGAGCCACGCCCGGGTAATTCTAATGCCAGAAGCGAGTTCGGCAGCCCCGAATTCCCCGAGTAACGATTTCCGAGCGATTTTGACGAGTTTCCAGTCGTTCCTATAATGGTGCAAGTAATGATGCAATTGGAAAATGCATTTTTCGGCCCAGAAGGCATTTTTCAAAAAATGGCTAAACCAGACGATACAGACTTTTTTCCAGGGACCTTCCTGATCACAATGCAGAAAACCGCATCTCGATATCTGCTGTCCCTAAAAATTTCCGTGATTTCGATTGTATTTGATCTAAATGCCCTG